CCTCGAGCCGGCCATGATGCACGCCCACCCACTGTGGCCTCCTCCAGCCCATCCAGACGCTCCTGCCCCACTCCTTCCCGGGCCCCACTGCTGCAAGGAGGAAAGGCGGCAAGTTCTCCCGCCAGGAGCCTCACGCGTCAGAGGACAAAGCCACAGGAGAATTCCACAAGTGAGGCTTCCACCACCTGGAAGCCATCCACCCACATGTATGCACACTTTTACATACATGTACACACATACACCCCTCATCATCTTAGCCCACCAGTCACCAAAAGAGGCTTGACAATACAGCCAGGAGGAACCCTCTGCCTAAAGCTGCCCCCAAAGACTGTCCTAGTGGCCTCCCATGTTGACCACAGGCCTAGATCTCCTTGTTTTCCACGAGTATTTGGGAGGTGCCCCCCATGGCCATGGCACTATGCGGGGTGGCTGAGAACCACCGTCGCCCCCATCTAAATCAGGTGGGAAGGCAGGAAACCAGCCAGGAACTGCAGCACAGCATCGCGATCCTCTAGGAACTCAGACAAAGGCCCAAGCAGGCCTCCCCAGGGCAAGGGGCCACCTAGCTGAGACCTCAACGGCAAACAGGATTAGCCAGGCAGGGGAACAGGACAGGGCAGGAGCCATGACATGGAGCCTGGCGCACAGCATGGCCTACGGCATGAAGTTCAGGCAGGGCAGCAAGAGGAGGACGGGCTGAGGACACCGCCGAGCGGGAGCGGGGGCTCCTGCTAGCTCACAGCAAGGGAAACAGGAAGACGTTGTGGGTGGGGGTCAGGGTAATCACAACTAGACATCAGGATCGCTATGGAAATCTCAGAGTGCTGACTCTGGGGGGCTGAGTAGGAAGAAGGCAGCCAGAGAGGAGGCCACACTGGAGGTCAGGGCGGGTCAGCAGCCTGGGCCACAAGGTGCCGGGAACGATGAGGAGTGAGGTGGGAAGCCTGGCTGGTGGGGCAACTGGCCCACCTGTACTGCTACAACACGTTCTAAAGAGGCAGCCAGCAGCCCTAGGAAGGTGGGCTGATCTGGGGGCCCTTCCTGAGCTCAGCGGAATGCAGTCCTGCCCTGGTGATCGTGGCTGCCACATACGGACCCTGTCTACATAGCTGAGCCTGGCACTGGCCCGGCGCCCACAGAAGAGGCTCCGGGCAGCTGCATGCTGCTCTCGGGCACAGTCAGAGCTATTCTGAAAGAGGCCCAGGGACCCAGAGGCGACTGCCAGACATTCCCCACAGGCCAAGTTAAGCCCATTGGCCTCACTTCAAAGCCAGAACAGCATCTGTCCCTTGTCGCCTCCGGAAAGGGGAGGTCAGCTGATGATAGTCAGCATGTTTGGCTCTTCAAATGGCTCCTGTTCAAAGATGAGTTTTCCCAAAGCTCACCCACACCCACACACCCACACCCACACCCACACCCACACACAAACATCCACACACACACACAGAGGTTCTGTGCCCAGGACTGAATGACAACAGGTAAGGAATACTCCAGGAGATTTTGGTATGATAGCGCTTCTCTTGCCTGGAAAACTAGAAAGGCAGTTTTCCTCCCTGGAGAAAGCCGGAGCCAAGGCTGAAGGGGAAACAGGCTCACCATCCTCCATACTCTGGAGCTGCATCTGCGCCCCTGATGTGGCCAACAATCAATCCTAAGGGACCTAAGCCGAGGTTGGTTCAAAAGCAAGGTCCAGCAGTCAGAACAGGAGCGACCTCAGGTCTCGCCAGGCTAGGCCTCCTGCCACTACAGTTCAATTAGGAGCAGGGCGACAAAGAATCCAGCTAAGCCAGGTGTGATGGTGCATGCCTGTAATCCCAGCACTCTAGGAGACTGAGGCAGGAGGACTGCAAATTCGAGCTCTGCCTGGAGAAAACAGTGAGACTCTCTCTCAAATAAAAAATAATTAAAAGGAGCTGAAGATATGCTAAAGGACAGCAATTTTTTTTTTCTTTTTTTTTTTTTTTTGAGGGGCTGGCTCAAGATGCCTTGAGGGCAGGTCTGGGAAGGCTTGAGGATCTGGGGATGGAACCACAGCATCCTGATTGCTTTGTTTAAGCAGTCACTTAAACAACTGAGCTAATGGGCAGGCCCCCAGGGCAGCAAATCTTCTATAAACAGAAACAAAAGGATACTTGTATGACATGACATATATATATATATAAAACCAATGGCCAAGTGCATACTTAGCAAGAAAACACCAGAAGAATTTCCAGGAAACTCAGAAAGAAGATAAAGATGCTTATTGTGGTAACGCTTTAGATGTTTTGGGCAGTTTAGCAGCACAGTAAACACAAAGGAACCATAGGTATAAGGAAGGAGAAAATGAAGTTTTCTTTACTTACAGATGGTAATACTATCTGACAGCCCAAGAAAATCAGAGAAAAACTACAAATGGACAAAGTATGTTCACCCTCCCTGAGACCCAGCCTGCTTGGCAGTTTGTATATCAGCCCTTGACAGGTTGGCCAAACTTAATCACTCGGTAAAGATCAGCTATTAGTGAGACAGATTTTAAAATTAATAGCTTTACAGATGATAAATTAACATAATAATCTAAACAGTTTAAATATGAAAAAAAAGAATAAAGTTACAGCAAGAAAAATAAACTACCCAGAGATAGACTTAACAAGAGATGTGCATGACCTATAAGGAAAACAATGAAAGAAATGGATCAGCAGGGGCCTGGGCTGCTCCGGTGAGAAGGTTCAGCCGTGCAGACACCTCCACCTCTGAGCAGCCACGTGGCCGTGCCACAGGACCCAGCTCCACAGCGCACTGCGGCTGAAAACTTCCCACGCCCGTCCCCCGCCCGGCAGGCAGAAGGACGCTCCTCCCTCGGGCCTGCCTGCTGCCCTCTCGCTCTGCAACCACTGCTCCTGGCTGCCCACATCACTTCTCTCTCTCCTTCCCTGCCTGCCTGACCATGGGCCCACAAGGTGGGGCTGAGTGCGGTGTCTCAGGAGCCCCCACAGTTTACTCCCTTCTTCCACAAAGGGACAGAGACCGCGTCAGCAAAGAAACATTCCACAGTACAGCTCAAGGAAGAAGACCCACCCCGGTACAGCTCAAGGAAGAAGACCCACCCCGCAGGGCCCGGGCGCACACGCTGAGGTACCCACCTTGGGCTTGGCGAGCTCCTTGATTCTCTCGATCTCCTCATCCGACATGACGTCGTAGTACCTGACGATGTGCGGGCTGTCCCACTCATCCTCCTCTTTGAAGGGTGCGATGAGCAGCTCTGGAGCCCTGTTGCCATGGTGGTACCTACAGAAAAGCCTCTTCCGCCTCTGGGGTGTCTAAGGAGCACAGAACAGCACACCCCTGGCTGAGTGGTCCTGCCCTCAGCCCATGTGCTGTCTGCAGGCGCAGGTCTCTCCCCCATGGCAGCAGCTGCTGCCGCCCATACCACCCCGGAGCACACAAGCCCTCAGCTCGGCTGGCAGGAAGGCTTCACCCCACAAGCATGCAATGTTTCTTCTCCCTCAGGCTCACCCCAGGCCCACAGTTCCCAGGGCACGGGGTATTCCAGACCCTTTCACAGAGACATGAGCAGGTCTGAAGGGAACCGGGAGAAGCCTTTCCAAGGAGGAGCCCTAGGGGCCAGGTGAAAAGGGCAAGAGCCTGCCTCATGGCCAGGCCTGTGGGAGACCCTGGGATTGTGGGCTCTCAGAAGCTACCAACACCCATACCACGCCCAAGAAGGGCTGTGTCTTCCCCACCCTGGCTTTCTCCCCACTTGCCTAGGGGGCTGAAATTCTACCTGGGGCACCTGGGAAGTTGCCTCCTATTCTTTATCTCAGTCTCAGCAATTTCTGTCACTGTTACTTTACAGTGTTGTCCCCAACAGCTGGAGGAGAGGCTAAGAGAAGCACCCACAGGTAGGGACTCTCACCAGCTTAATGCCCTCCCCGCGACACAGGCTCTCGTACACCTCCCTCTCTGGCAGGTAATCCCCCGGCCTATCATAGACGCCTTCCTGGGCTGCAAGCACAGCGTCCGTCTGATTTGACAATGGTTTTCCTCTTTCTTCCTCCAGCAACCGCTCAAAGTACCGCAGGTTCCCTCCAGCTCGCTCATGGCTCGGGTCTAGCAAAAGCACAGAACAAGAAGGAAAAGGAAACCGCAAACATCTGTTAGGTCATTTAGAGAAATTATTCTATAATTGGTTACTCTCCCAGCAGCCCACTTGCGTGAGACATTCTGCCGTCTGCAGCACCTGGCCAGGGTGCAGGCCAGAGCCGAAAAGCCAGCACAGGCCCTCCCTACCTCAGCCACAAATGAGAGGGGGACTGCATCAAAGTGGGGGACACCTAGCAGCCCCCAGGGAGACTTCCTTCCCAGGCTTCCCCTGGGGCCCCAAGTCCCCAGGCCCAGAGAAGCAGTGCTGGGTCCTGCGTCCTCACAACCGGCCACTCACACCGGTTTCCTATAGTGCAGCCATCACTGGTGACATCACACACTGGCCACAGCCACCAGGCCCAAAATACTGACTACACACAGCTCTACCGTGTGGCCATTCCAGAATCCTAAGAAGCAGGCATAGCAGGATTTCAGGCCCACTCCTGGGAGAAGTGACTTAAATGGATTCTACACAGAACAGGAATTCAAGTGTCCTCATTCCCTGTCCAGGAATTTGCAGAAGTCCTCCTACTGATCGCAGGCTACTCGACGTCAGGCTGGGGGCTCCGTGGGAAGCAGCAGCACAAGAAAGCCTCTGCAGGTGACTGTTTCTAACAGGTGGGTTGTAAAAGCTCACGCTTCTGGCCGCCTTCAGTTCCACAGCATAAGGAACAGTGGCATGGAAGGCTCTGCTCCTAGACTTCAGGCCGCTAACAAAATAGGGGGGTCACTGCCCCTGAAGGACACCCTGCCCCTCAAGCTGCTCCCAGCACGGTGGAGACTCAACCCACAGTCCTGGACCACCGACGCACTAAGTCCTTGCTAAGAAAGGCATGCGTAGGCCCACTGGTGGCACAGGTAGGAACCATGAGCCTGAGCATACCCATCAGCAACTGGGCAAGAGCTAAGGCCAGGACTGGGATGGCAAAGGAGTAGCTGGCAGTTGATTTGGATCTGAAGACATAAATGCATCAGTTACAGGCCAGGCGGGAAACACGGGCTCAGTCCCAGGAGCAGGATCAAGCACAGTCCAGAACCTTTGCCTGTCCCCATCTTCATCTTTTCTTCCTAATCTCCTTACCAAGGGACAGCAGGCGGCGGGTGAGCTCCAGGGCGCGGTGCAGGTCACCCAGCTGGAAGACGGCGTAGCTCAGGTAGTCGAGCACCTCAGACTTGGCTACGGAGGCCTCCTCCCCGGCATCGAGCTGCTTCAGCACCTGCTCCATCCACAGCACCGTGTGGTAATAGTCTCCGTCGCTGTAGGCCGAGCGGCCCATCCCAAAGCAGTCGTCCACACTCAGCCTCGCCTGGTACTTGGTTCCTGCCGCAGAGGCCAAGCGTCAGGCTCCAGAGAGCAGAGAGGTCCAGCCCCAGGAAGGGAGGCATCACCCGCGTAGAACCCCCAGCCCTGGGACGCACACCCTGAAGTGTCGCTGACACAGCGAGCAGGCAGGGTGCTCTCGCCCCGGGCCACAGTTCACAGCCACCTCCTAGGTTTAGGCTCGCCTCTTCCCCGGTGGGAAACAGCTTTGTCGCCAGGAGCTATGCAGTCCACCAAGTAGTCTTACTAAGGACAGTGACAGAGAGATGTGTAGTTGGCAGCTGACTGCGAGTCCCGAGTACAAATAAAACAGGACCTAGGGGGCCCCAAAAGCCACAGGTGAGGACAGCTGCTCGTAGGAAAGGGTGTGAGGCAAAGGAGATGGGCAGAGGCTGGCACCCCCCGGAACACAGACATGGAAAAGACAGAGCAAGGAACATCAGGAAGAACCTAAGAGGCAGAAGAAATGAGCAGGAGTGGAATGGAGACGCCAAGGCGGAAGCAGCCAGGCTGTGAGGGCATGGAGCACCGCCTGGCAGGCCTCGTGACCAAGGGCCGTCTGCTGCGGGCTGAGTACTACAGCATCGCCATGGGGACAGCTGCAAGCCAAGAGCAACCGGCAGGGTTGGGGTAGGCTCCGGCGGAAGGACTGTGTATGTGCTCCTCAGGGACTGAGAGAACACGTCTGGGGGAGACAGGGGTCGCAGCCGGCACAAGAGAAGTGCCTCAGAGTGGGAGCTTCCTGCCAGAGATCCAAGAGAGCTCCTTCTGCAGAGGAAGCCTGACTGCAGGAGTTATCCGCTCCAGAGCCAGGTCTGCTTGCCCCAGAACCAACAACGAAGGACGGGAACTTGGGGAGATTAAACACAAGACGGAGCTGCATGCAGGCCGGGGGCTAGCGCGTGCCTGGGGCCCCTCTCCTTCCCCACGGGCCTCCACAGATCTCTTCTAGCCCGAGCACCTACCTGCTGGAGGCCAGTGACACAAACGAGTGGGCCAAGGCTCTGACGCTGCCAAGCGAGGCATGGGCAGGTCTCACCCTCCCCCCCTCCATGTGACTGCAGACAACGTACCCAGCCTGTGTCTCTGTCCCCTATCAAGACAGAGACGGCATCTGTCTATAACTATCAAAACAGAGACAAACCATGAACTCAAGGCCCTTGTGCCAAGAGTCCAGTGCAATGACCTAGGAGGTGTCGCCTGTGATCTCCAGGGTGCCAATGACCAGCAGCTGCTGTCACTGTCTCGCAGATACTAAGAATGTTGGGAATGGCTCCCAGGTGCCTGCTAAAGCTTCCACAGTCTTGAGCGTGACAACTGAGCTGAGTGCTGGAGGGTGCTCAGACATGAAATAGTCCTCATGCCGGGGGTAAACCTTCCTGCAGAGTTAGTGGGGCGAAGAGCTACGTGGAGAGAAGCCAAGAACTAGAGGCCAGGAGGCCAGGAACTCAAAGGCCCCACACAGGCAGAAGGCACAGACAGCCAGAATGCGTCGACCTTGGGATTGTGGCAAGACTGCCAGCAGGAGGAGGTGCTTCTTGCTGAGATATGAGGGAGGGAGGAGAGGAACAGTTCAAAGAGGTGGACTCAGTTTGGGACATCTGAAGCTTGAGAAGCCCCTGAAACATCCAAATAGAGATGTCTACCAGCACCTGCTTAGCTGGGCCAGAAGCTGAGGCGACACACCACGGAAAGAACACCTGGGGTGAAGTGCCGGGGGAGACAGGAGAAGGGCGGGAGTTCTTGTGCCCTCCCATTCCCCTTGAGGACACCAATGGCTGTCTCAACTGAAGGTGAAAGGCTCCAGCCGCTCTCTCCCCCACCAGTCTCATAGCTACAGGGGGAACAGACCCTGCAGGTACCCTGAGCTGTCTTCTCTCTGTGGCCTCAAGGCATGGCTTGGCCAAGGAGGTCACTGAAGCAGGAATAAAGCAAGGTCCACACTTCGCCTTCCTCCTCCATCAGATGCCTCCACACCTGGCTCCCAGGCCTTGGCCAGCCCACGACAGAATAGCTGGGGAGGAGGACAACATGGCTCCCACATACCGTGGCTCTCTCTGCATGAGTCTCCTCCAGGGTTCTCACAGAATCCAAGACCCTATTGGGGCCCAACTGGCTCCCTGGTATTACAGGTCTTGAATAGACTCTCAGAAGACTATCATCTTACCAACACTAACACTGGGGCAGTCTGTGAGAAAGGGACTGCTTTTTAAAAAAGGAAAGAAAAAGAATGCATGACCAGAGAAGCCTACACTTAGGGTTTTATCAGTCCAGTGGTCACTAGGGACCTCACAGGAGGCAGGTCAGTGGACAGTAGGGACCAAGGCACTGTGGGTTCAGGGGTACCCAGGTACCACAGAGTGGAGCACGGAACATGTATCACACTAGCCAGCAGCCTATCCAGGAGGGGGAAAAAAAGACTGACCAGCGGCAGAAACTCAAAAGAGCCTTGGACTGAGGAAGATGTGGGAAAGAGAAGCGACATAAACAAGAATCTGTGTATAAGGTGAGGAAGAGCACACCACAGACGCCAAGGGGGCTCCTGAACGACAGCCTGGCTTTCTGAGACACAGGAAGCGAGGGCCTCAGCTAACACCTGAAGTGAGGAGCTGGCATGGAACAGGAGACTGGCACCAAAGAGGGACACACGGGAGGGTCAGCACCCGAGGGAGCCGGCACCTGAGGGACCATGGCTCCCCCAGCCACCAAAGGGCTGCACACGGGACAGGCAAAGCGTACAGCGGTGAGTTACCTGGAATTTCCCCTCTGGAAATCATGCCTGGGTCGAGTTTGTATGTGTCCTGAAGTCTCATCAGGGCCTTGGCAGCCCCCACCTCATCCTCATCAGTGGGGAAGAACTGCCGCTGCACAGAGAGGTTGGCAAGGAAACCTTCCGGGAGAGAGAGAGGCGGTCACCTTGAATCCAGGGGCAGAATTCCATCTGGGACCAGAGAGGCAGCTACCAGAGGACCGCTTGCGAGTGCATCTCCCTGCGCCTTCCTCAAAGGAGGGCAGCTCAGCGGAAGGGTACTTGTCTAGCATGTACCAAGCCCTGGGTATGATTCCTAGCAGTGCAAAAACAAAAACAAAAACTTTACCCTTTCACCAAGAAAGCCCCCTGATGGCTGCAGATCACAAGATTTCTCCCTTCATACACTTCCTTTTGCTGCTTTTTTATTTTTTATTTATTTATTTATTTGTGGGGGGGCCAGCTCAGCCCACTAGGGGGCGGGGCCGGCTGGCATGTGGTGCTGGGGGATTGAACTGTGGTCCCTGTGCTTTGCTAAGCTTGTTCTAAGTAGGTGCTTTAGACCACTGAGCCATCTCTCCAGCCCTTGCTGCTTTTTTAGAACTGAACAGGAACAGCCTACACACTGCTTAACAGTTGGGAGTCCAGGAACAGTAATCGGGGGATAACCTCCCCAATCGGGGTGCCAAGCTCCACAGCCTGGAGCCCAGGGAGTCCCTGACCACTCAAGGACCCTAAGAAGGCTTTCCTGGGACTCCAAGCCCAGGACCCCAGGTGGGGTTCTTGCCTCCCAGATTCAAAGGCCTCGCTTCTTTCTGTCTGTGAGCTGAGAAGTACGAGGGAGACTCCAAGGCGGCCCTTCTCTGGCCCTCTCCCAAGAGCAGCAGGGCCCACTGTCACCTACCTTACAACATGAGACTCAAGCACCCATTTCTAGCCAGGCCTGGGGCCCAGCAGGTATCAAGAAGCTACTGCCTGTGTCCTCCTGGCCAGGAAATCTAGAGTGTGGACTCCAGGAAGAGAGCACAGGCGCCCTAGAAAAAGACACACTACACTCTCAGTGCCCCGCCCCCATTTCAGGGGCAAGAACTTAAAGATCAGAGATGAAAACAACCTAATGCTCCCTGAGCCTGTCTGATCGGCTTCCAGGTAATTAGAAGGTTTTCCAGATGTGGGTGGGGAGGTGGAGACCACGTGCGCAGGCTCTGGCTCCGGTGCTGGCGGCAGAACGGCCTGTTCTAAGCCACAGGCCCAGCCCAGGAGGCGAGGGGGCAGGGGCGGTCCGGAGGCAGCAGTGGTTCCTGGAGGCAGTGCGCTCCCTGGGCACAGCGCCAGCCTGGCTGAGCTCACAAACCCTCCCCGGAGGCCAGGCTGCCCTAAGCCAAGTGCAGCCCCGCCTGGCCACATGGGCGAGGTCGTCTCAGCCAGAGAGACAGACAGCTGGGCTGAGCCTCCCCAGCACTCCCAGGAGCTGAGCCAAGGCTGGCATGGGGCGGGGCTACCTCCAGGGTCCCCCCAACACAGTGCTTTTGAAAGGGAAGTGTCAGAGCCCAGAGAACACGGCTACAGAAAAAGCTTTTTATAAAGTCATACTCTATTTTTATCTTTACAACCATCGTTAATTATCTGTTACTGTTTTGAAAATCTGTAACATATGCATTGTTGTATGTTACCCTTTGTCTTTTTTTCTATTTGTTTTTCTGTTTGTTCTCTTCAAAATAAAATAAAATAAATTATAAAAAAAAACAAATACAAATAAAAAATAAAAGTCATACTCTGACCTTTAAATACCATTTCCAGTTACTCTAGAAAAACGACCTGAGATATCAAGATATGCACAAAACATGGCTAATCACTTGGAAACAACCCATGTCAGGGGCCAGGGAGATGGCTCAGTGGAATAAGCGCTTCCCTGGCAAGCGCAAGGGCCTGAGTTCAATCCCCAGTTCTGCCAAAAAAAAAGAAAAAAGAAAAAAAGAAACAACCCATGTCGGATGATTTGATGATTTGGCCAGTGCTACACTGTAAGAGTATGAACATTGTTATCCAGCCACTAAAATCATGTGGCAGAAGAACATTTTAATAGCAACAGAGCAGCTGGAGTTGAGTGTGGTAGTGCATGCCTGGAATACCATATGCAGGAGGCTGAGACAGGAGGGTTGAAAGCTCAAGGGCAACCTGGACTACAAAGCAAGAGCCTGTCTTAAACCTCTGCTACTCCCCTGAACCAAAAAAGGAGGCACTGAAAGATTCAGGGACAAGTGTATGCTTATGTTGCAAACCCACCAACAGATCTGTTTTGCTTAAAAAAAAAAAAAAAAAAAAAATCCGGCCGGGTGAACAACCCCGCCTGCCCGGCCCCAACAACCCGCCCCTGCGCTCATTTGAATTCATCTGTCTTGAAACAAATGAGTTTTTATCTCTTACGCATGGCTCCTTTTTAAAAATGGATATACGCATGTGTAGGAAGATTATGACTTCAACACTGCTTACCACCAGGCAGTTGGAGTAAAAACTAGAATTTTTATATGGGATTGGATCTGTGTTTTCTAATGTTTTTATAAAAACATACATAGCTTAAGTATAATCATAAAAAAATTCATTACAAAAAAATGGTGCATACCAGAAGTGGAGGTGTGTGCCCATAATCCCAGCACTCGGGAGGCTGAGGCAGGAGGATGGTCACAAGTTCAAGACCAGCCTGAACTACACAATGAGCTCAAGGCCAGCCTGAACTGTATAGCAAGACCCTGCCTCAAAAAGGCAGGAAAAAAAAACGGTGTGTGTGGTGGTGAGAACACTAAATTACAAAAAAGGCAAACACTGATTATTGTTCCATGTTTGAAGCAAAGCAAAGACAGTCCACGGCCAGGACTCACAGGGAAGGACCAGAGCCAAGAATGCACGGGGGCTCTGTTCATACTGCGCACTGTGCCGGTAGGCACCAGATCCAGGCTCGCCCACCACAGCCCCAGCAGACACACACGCCCACACGCACGCACGCACACACGCATGCACACGCACGCAGCCCACCCACTCCGTCGCTCACCAGCAGCCGCATCCTGCAGGACAAGGTCCTCCAGTGCAGGCCAGTCTGTATTCAGCCGCTTCACCAACTTATAGGCGTTCACGGGATGGGCTACGTAGCCCTCAGGGTCCGCAGCCGACTTGCTGGTCAGGGCTTCCAATTTGCTGGCCCAGCTGTGCAACCAAAGGAAAGGATGAGGAATGGTCCACCCACCCAGTTGTGGGCCCGCAGTAGCGTCCCTGGGGAGATGTTCTGGCCGCCATAAACAGGTATTAAAGCATGACTAGAGCAGTTCCCATGGATCTTTCTAGCTCCTTAACCTAGGTAAAACCTGGGAACCATAATATAAGTACAAAGAGAGTCTTACGTAGAAAGGAAAACTACAGCCACTCCTTTGCGCATGTACTTAGCAACTCCAGAGCACTGGCAGGAAGACAACTCCGGGCAGCCTCCCAGCACCCAGCTTCCTCTGATCCTCAGGCCTGGGGGTTGGGGCAGGGGCAGGGGGCTGGCTCAGGCTGCCTGCAGGGCCTCAGCGCACATGGCACCTCTTAATTTTGGAGAGCTTGGCTTCCTCCACAAGGATGTACTCCTTCAGAGACTGTACCAGGCCCTTCTCTGCGTAGATCAGGTCAGTCATGTGCCCTGCAGGCAGGAGAGACATGAAGGAAGGCCAGTTAGAAACAGGTGAGGGTGTCGTCCCTTCCCTTCGACCATAAAGCGTGACCACGAAAGCAAGTCCTTGGGCTGAGGGCATACAGCAGCTCTCTGGGGCCACGGGGATTTGGAGGTAAAGGGGCCCAGGCCCGCACGGCCCCATGCCTAATTTCAGGAAGAGAAAGGCAGAGGGACCAAAAAGATGTGGGTAAGAAAACCAGGGACTACTCAAACCAGGAGCTCCAAATCTCAGTCTCCTGCTATTGTCCAGGTGGCCCTGTGGCTGGGCATGGATATCCAAAGGGCTCAGAAACCTCAGATGAGAAAGATAGGAGGAGCGAAATCCTTAGCACACAGAGAGCTCGGCCCTCTTTAGCCAGGGGTAAGAGGGTCAAAAAGGCCAAAGAGCCCACGTGTCAGTGTGCGTCCCGGACAGGAAGGCGTAACGCAGATAGCCAGCTCGCAGGACAGCAAGATCAGGGTCAATGGGAGAGGGAAGCGGCTTCACAGTTTCCACTGTCCTAGAACTATTCAGAACCAGCGGATGAAGCCATCCTGCTCTGGGTGAGAGCAGCCAGTGACAAGGTCCTCCTGCCACATACCAACAGAAGTGAAGAATTCAGCCTGCACACAGCTCAGGACACCAACCCAGGCCAACAGCCACATGGACACCTGGAGCTTCATGGTCAGAGAGGGCAGCACCTGCAAGGAATTCGGGACATTCCTTAACGAGCACAGTGAAAAAGAACACCTCAGATGAGGAGATGCAACACACACACATGCATGCACAAGCAGGTACACACACACACATGCATGCACAAGCAGGTACACACACACGTATGCACAAGCAGGTACACATACACACATGCACAAGCAGGTACACACACACACGCATGCACAAACACGCCAAACTCCTGGCCTAGCAAAAATGAGGAAGGGCATTTAGGATTAGCTGTGGCAAGAGCCCAGGGTACGGAATAGGCCACATGTGCACAGTACTGGCCTACGCTCTGGGAAGCCCAAGGAGTGACACAATCAGGCGGCTCAGCTGCTTCTGACCTTCCAACACATGTGCCTGGCCAGAGCCAGGAGTCAAGATCTACCTGGCCAAGGTCCTAACAGTACAGGAAAGACAATGAAAGAAGGAGAACTTGGTACAATATGCTCGGGGCACCCAGCCCAGGCTGATGTGCACTGCAGACGAGTAAACACTGACACCTCCCAGTCTGCACCTGCCAGGGCCAGGGCCACCAGGGCAGTGGCACTCCGGGGCAGACACTACTTCAGCTGTAGTGAGGCTCTTGGCAGACACCATCTTATCCTCATGGTCTGCCACCATTCATTCACAAATATTTCCTGAGAAATGCCAGGCACCAAGTGAGGTACTGGGGACAAAACCATCAATCAGCCATGCAAGCCCAAAACCTCAGGCTGGGCTGCTGACACGCCGAAGAGGCCAGCTGCTGCCATCTCAGTGGCCTAGAAACAGACACAGCTCTGAGGGAGGCAGGTACAACCTGAAGCAACCCTCCCTGGCTCTGGGCTTGCAGGCACAGCAGACGCTTCAGACATCGCCTCCCAGCTCAGCCCTCAGCCTGGAACATGCTAGAAGCCCAGTGCTCATCTAAGTCCCTGCTCTGTCAGTCCTTCCTCCTCTTGCTCCACTTCAGCCAAGTCTCGTGGGAATGCTCAAATGGAAATTTACTAAGAAAATAAAGGGAATACAAAAGCTTCTCCAAAAATTCTCCAGCAGAACTCTAAGTCTGGGCTAATCATGTTCATCATTTTTTGCCTGCCATGGTCAATCAGACACACAGTCACTCTGACCATTCCTCATCCAACCCTTTCAGAAAAAAACCCAATGTGCTATGGTCCAGGGTAGGCTCAGAGAAGACTCCCCAGGCTTCCGTCCCCAACAGGCTGCTCTGCCAGCAAGAGGACAGCACAACCAAGCAGCCACGTTGCTCAGGCCCCTGCAGCCTGCAGCACTGACAGTGTGCCTGTCGCAGTCAAGCCTCTGAGGTCCAGAGACATTCGGATCAATTATCCTCCAAGCAAGAACCTGCCATGGCGCATGGCCTACTGGGCTAAGGGTCCAGTAGGGGCTAAGGGGGACAGGATAAAGCAAGTCACTGAGGGACAGCAGCAAGCCTGGGAGCACCTTGAGCACCCAGGGCCTCGGGTCCAGTGCTGCCTGCTTCTGGGTCTCACCACATGGTCCCCTCCAGGTCAGGATTCTGGAAGGCTCTCTTCTCGCTTCCCTGAGGCCTCAGCTAGGATGGTGGCCTTTGTGCATGTTCAGGGAGGGCACAGGGAAACTTGGGGCCAGGAGGATCGTGAATGGTGGGGGGCCAGCCAGCTGCTCCTCAGCGTGGGGGCACAGGACAGCGGGATCAGGCTGGAAGTGGAGGTCCCAGTGCTTCTCCGCAGATGAGTTGCCAACCACAGTTGCATAACTCTTCAGCGATCAGGCAGCAAATTCACATGAAAGGGAAGCTGTTCCATTCCTTTCAAATCACCCTGATGGTACCATCCACGATTTGTAGTTATAGCACTCGGAAAAGGGCAGCCAGGTTTCTTTGTTGCGTGCACACCAGCTGTCATCTCTCTAGAATGTGCTGTCTGGCTCACACTAAGCCCATCTGTGAGTGTAGGCCTGAAAGGGGAGCCTCAGAGAGTCACAGAAGGGTTTTAGGAAATGACCTGCCCAGAGCCTGCGAAGTCCTGCTCTCATAGGACAGGGCCACGAGGACGTTGCCAGCCCAAGCATCCTCCTGGCCCTGGACCCCAAACTCATCTTTGTAAAAACTTCATCTTTGTCACCTAAACTAAGATCACAATGGAGAAGGCATCCAAGAGGGACTGCACCCCCCAATATGGAAAACAACAACCCCTACCCCATCTTCTGCCCACATCCAAAGCTTGTTTAGGATAAAAAAGCTTGGAGTATCCTTCCCAGTGCCCCACAAAGTATCCAGTGCTGCTAGGAGCACCCCTGGGAGCCCTCAGAAATCCATGCATTGGGGCGGGGGAGATAGCTCAGCCACAGAGAACCTGCTTAGCAAGTTCCAGGGCCTGGGTTCCATCCCCAGCAGGACAAATTTTAAAAAGGTAAAGAAGAAAGAGGCAGGGGGGAAAGGGAGGAGGAAGATGACAAATAAATCTAGGCAGAACAGATCTGGAGATGTAAAACCCCTTTTCCTGCAAACCAAAGGCACTAAGGGGAGCAGAACACCCACAGACCCTCATCTGAGGCTGAGCCTGACGCCTGTCCATACCACACACCCGACAAAAGACTTCATCACAGATGTGTTCAAACGAGGAGCCACAGCAGATGTTACATCTCTTCTGTACAGCTGACTCTTAAGGAGGACATAAATACAAATACTATATATAACTCACATGAAGATGGCAAAGCGTACCATGAGAAAAGCAGGTTTCCCCAAATACATACCAAAAGACCTAACTTTGATGAGAAAACCCTAACCTGTGCGTAGATGCACAGGAGCGCCATTTTCTAATTGTACCTTGGTGAAGTAATTTTATTTTTCTTCTTTTATGCTGTTTGTTTTCTTACTTTTCTACAAGGAATTATTAAAATATTTTACAATACTTAAAACGTAAAGGAAACAAAGCAGGCCTTCTCAGATGAACTCCACGCGGGCCTTGGCAGCTCCAGATTTAGCTCCCCACTGGGAGGGCCTGAAAAACCTGCCAACACCCGACAGTAGTTCACCCACTAGGTAACTGGCGCTGTTTCTAAGCACAGGACGAGTCCAAGACACACAAGCAGAGGTCCTACCAAGCCCGCTCCTTGGAAAGGACATTTACAGTCTGGCCAAATGACCATGAAGAGATGTTTCCAGCCGCAAGCCAGCAGCGTTCTTAGCTTCTCCCCTTACCTCATCGGGACCCTCTGCCAACCTCCCAGCTGCAACCCAACTACAACAGCCCGAGTTTTAACAGAGCACTTAACAGCCTAGAGACAGAACATAGCTTTCCTGAGAACAAACAGGTCTTGCTCGGACTGCATGGTCAAAACCCTGCCTGCATTCTGTGAAGAGGTGACCTCTCTGAACAAGCCCCCAGCCCTGCCATGGACCACGCACCATGGCCCCAACTTCCATCACTGTAGCCAACTCCAGAGCTGCAGAGCTGAAAAGACCTGCAGGCCAACCTAGAAGGAGTTATGCAGATGCTCCACGAAGCCTCACCACCAAAGCACCTGGACGCCCACTTAGGCCTGGAAGTGGGGGAGGATAGGAGGCACTGAGCCACTGTCACCAGGGAAGAATAGGAGGCACCAAGCTTTCCCCACTAGTGTCCTGCTCAGCCACCACCCTGACCTGCGCCACCCTTACACCCTGCTACAGCTATGCCACTCTGACCTCTCCACATCTCATCTGGTTTTGCTCTCAACTCTGTCCCAGAAGTAGTCAGTGCAGCCTACAGGAGGCCTCTGGCTCTAACCACCAGCAGAATAATGTCCCATCTCCTTAGCCCACCGGCCCTTGGAACTGCGTGCCCTAACCTGATGTCCCCTCCAGGCCCATTTCATGACCTCAAGTATCATTTCATCAACAACTACTTCATGTGAAAAGTATTCCCCTTCACCAAGAACCCAGTGTTCTCCCCTTCCCCGAAGGTTTCCCTGAATTCCGTCCCTTGCTCTACAAGTAGCCATCTCAGAATTACTGGTGAAGCATCTCCCTGGGCTCTGACTTTCCACCCATCCAGTGGAGGAAGAGGGGGCTCGGTGGGCCCCGGCGAGGAGGGGTGAGGCGGCACATGGCAGATCTGAGGTACGATCCTTATGCCTTCTCTATGCAGGACATGCACACGTTGACTTCGGCCTCCCCACTGAAGGACCATCCAGACCACCAAGCTCTGCTTCAGTAACTAGATGATGACGTACCACAGAAAGCTGTTAGAGTCCAAATGAACGCCAGGCTGCATTCAGGCAGGGCCCCGGCGCAGCGCTGACGGTGGGGTGAACCTGGCTTATAAGGATCCACACCTGAGGGCCAGACCCATGCACCACTGTGTTGCATGCAGCTTACGCACCCTCTGGGCCTCACTCCGTCCTCGGCCACAGGCTACCTCCTCTGCCTCAGCCCCGTGGAAGAGGCCGCGTGGACCCAATCTGCAGTCTCCGGGTCCTCCAGGGTGATGGCTCCAGGGGCCACAGAAGGGGCCTGGCGAGGAGTGAGGGAAAGCGAACTCCCCACAAGCCACCTCTGACCAATGAAGCAGACAAGATGAACCTGGCAGGTCAATTCCTCCACGAACCTTTTCCAAGAAGCTCTTCCTAGCAGGTGCAGGGGCTGGGGGTTTGACCCCCGGACATGCCGTGCTGGCCCCGCCCCCGGGGCGTGCTGAGGCGGCAACTGAGACTGGCCGTGGTGGCGCATACCTGTAATCCCAGCTCTTGAGAGGCTGTAAACAGGAGGATCACTACGAGTCCCACCTAGCAGTGAGACCCTGAACACCTTGTGGGCAGCGTGCCAGCTTGCTAAGGCAGCCCTTGTGTTTGCTTCCCATGCTCGGGTACATGGCTCCTCTTTCCCCTCACGCTGGCTGCTCCACAATATGCTTTCCCATAAAGTACTAAACACTGAATGAAGTTCTGTCTCAGGCTCTGTTTTCTGGGAGCCTCGTCTAAGAAAACCACAACTTTTGTTTCCAAAACTTAATACCTTTTAAAATAGAATAACTATAATACTGTACTGTAATAAAGTTGCTAGCTTTAGAGCTGGCCAGATAGCTCAGTGGGTTAAAGCGCCTGCTTAGGCAGACGCAGGGACTGGGGTTCAATCCCCGGCATGCCGTGCTGGCCCCGCCCCGGGGAGACAGCAACTGAGACTAGGTGTGGTGGCACACGCCTGTAGTCCCAGCGCTTGGGAGACTGAAAACAGGAGGATCACTATGAATCTGATCTGTGTAGGGAGACCCTGTAGAGCCTTACTAAACACACAAAACAACAAAAAAGAAAGTTGCTAGCACTGGTACTCTAGCATTTTGGCGCCATCATGAAGTAAGGGTTATTCAAACACCAAAACTACATCACTGAAACAGTCAGCCTGATGATCAAAGGCGCTTCAAGGTGTAAGCGGCCGACAGGTGGGTGGTGTATACAGTCTGGGTCGGTGGGATGAAAGGATGGCTCACGTTCTGGGCAGAACCGCTCAAGGTTCCATCGTGCATCTCAGAAGGGCCCCCAATTTAAGCCTTAGGAATTGTTTATTTTTGTCCTTCTCCATTTAATATATTCAGTCTGTGGTTAACCGTGGGTACATGAAATTGCAGAAAGCATGGATGGGCAGGGAGCTCCACTGTACACAATAGATATATAAGGTAGAGAACTGGAGCTGAGAGAGGGTCTCCTCTATAGCTGACATTGATAGCAAACCAAGACCAAGCCCCCCCCCCACACACACACACACATGCTTTCTACAGGATACGGCTGCCACTCAGGTTAACACAGGAATTCCTGCTACCTTGTAGCACAAGAGCTTCCAGTAACTGGAGCCACACTGTATCCTGCCAAGCCATACCTGCCCACATTCACAACATTCTCATGGGTCACAAAGCAGGTTCATGACATCTTTGGCTCAATCTCACCAGAAGGAGAAGAACAATATGGACTCTAATAACAGCAACATGGACCCAGAAAACAGCAACCTGGTCCCCTGAGTGCAGGATACACCCGCTCCTACCACAGACCTCACAGCATCCACAGATAATCACCCAGCCCTCTTCAGACCAGGGCTCGGGGCTGAGCTAGGTACATACACCTGCCCTGTGGCCAGAGAGACCCAGAGTTAAATCCCACCTCCACCACTACTTCCTGGCCTTGTGACCTTGGACCAGTTACAGGCTTCTCTGAGCCTCAGTTTCCCCCTCTAGATAAACAGTAGGACCTATACTTCACAAGCTAGGCCTTGTGAGGACTGGGTGAGATGACAGAGACTAGCAAGTAGCCCAAGACTAGGCGCAATGACGCCAGTCATCAGCACTAAAAGCCAGCGGGCCTGAAACAGCCGGGGGTCCGCACAAACCAGCTGATCTGAGGGAGCAAGAAGGTCCAGACCAGGGGACAACACAGATGCAAGACAGAAACGGGGCACTCTCCAGGTACCAGGCATGCCAGAAAAGACTGGCGTGAGGTGCCACGCAGCCCACAGAGCACCAAGGAAAGCTCTCTGGCACTCAGCTCTGTGTACCCTGACTGCCCATCCCACACTCCTGCAAGTATCATGCCATTGCCACACCCCGGCCCTCAGGGGTGCCAGGCACAGAGCAAGTGCTCTTAGCAAGCACTTCTTGAGAGGTTTGGAGCAGAGGCTGATCTATGACCAGGCTCAGACAGCCCCTACCAAAGCTGGCAAACACAAGTAATCCTCTGCCCTGCAGTGACACCAATCCAACAAAAAGCCTCCCTAGGGCTCTGAGAAGTCTACTTCAGCCTGTTCATCCCTCCCTATTCTTTCTGAGAATAAAAAGACTATCCTTCCCTCCTTGCCTGGCCCCAGCCCCAAACTCACAGACCATAGGCCCCACCAGCCCCTCTGCTCTAGGACAGGCTGATGTCTCACTCTTGGGTACCTCAAAGGTCCAAATTGAAAAATTGGAGCAACTTTTTCCAAGTTCAACTTTCACTCCAGGACTCTGCTGGGCTTACACGTGCCTGCACTCAGCATTTCCTGCCAACCTCCATCTGCATAAAATTAAACTCTTGACAGATCCCGGGGCCAGAGACACACCTCCCAGCCCTCTGCACACTATCGGCCAGCGTGGCCACAAGTCATCCAAGGTCTTGAGTCCAGCTTCAAACCCTCCCAAAGATGGGGGGGCGGAGTCAAATGGGAGGCTTCCTCAGAAAATGCAAGGCCTCTAGATGCCCTTACCCCACTCATTCCTCAAAGCAGCACACAGTCTCTTCCTTTGATAAGTCCTCACATGCCGGCTCCTCCCCTGACACACAGCCAGCTGCCACCATGAAACAGCAATGTTAGAGAGATCAGGAGCTACCCACAGGCAAGAAGAGTCCTCTGGCCACCTCTCTTCTCTCCTCCCTCATCCCAGACCCAGGCATATTCTAGACAGAAACAAGCATGAAGGAGGTACCCAAGGAATGAGCAGACATCAGCAGTGCTAGTCCAAGACAATGACCAAGCAAGCACTCTGGTACACCCCACTGCAAAGCCTGAGACAAGACAGGAGAGTTTATTACAAACTACAGGCAATGCTTCGATTTGGTTGTCACCCTGTCTGCCTGCTGAACAGTCCTTTCAAAGAACTGAGGAGGTCCCTATAACCTGTCTTTGGGTTAAGGCCCCTAGCCAACTCACTCTCTCTGCTAAGTGGCTTTACTGGCTGGGCCACATAGCAGACATATTTGGGCATATGAAAAGAAGGCTCTAGAAGAATTCATAGACCAACGTCCTATGGGCGAGGAGAAGCAACCAGAGAACTGGGCTCCACAGCACAGCACCACGGGGAGAGACTGCAAACTGGACACTTGAGGGGTAGTTTAAGCAGAGCCAAGGAAATCCCAGTTTATTTAACAGAGAATTCAATCACAGAAGCTGCTGTCTCAGATGTGATCCAGGCCAACAACCAGCGGCAGTTTGCAAAAACATCCTCTGAATTCTTAGGTAGACAGCAAATCTCCATAAAGTCTGAAGGTACAAAGTGATATCCCAGCCCTCGATCTTAGGGCTCAGATCTGCTACCAGAGGTTTAGGACTGCCAGGCCCCAGAGATCTGCAGCAAGAAGCATGATCCTCAAGTTTCACTCTGCAACACAAGCCAAACTGTCCCACAGCACCTTCGGTGTAGGTGTCACACCATATAACACAGGCCAGGGGCCCACCTGTGCGCTGGTGCCTGGGGGGGCAGGAAGTTCCCTGATCACACTGTTCTGAAAGGGCCCCCAAGGCATGGCCCACACGCAGCAGAGCCCCACACTCAGCGCTCTTCTCCAGGGCCTGCCCCATCACCTTGCGTCCACTACAGAACCACACATGCTGCTGCTCCAACTCTCCCCACGCTGCTCCGTGTCGCCAGCCTGTCTGACCACTACAGCACAAGACTCACCACACTCTTCTGGGCCTGGACTTGCTGGTCCTCCAGTCTGCGTGCCCACTGGGCTCACAACTCCTCTCAATTTCTGGCACACAGAAAGTGTCCCTTTGTCGAATCAGTTCATTAATTACCACGGGCTTCCACAACTGCTGAGGAAAAACAAGCAGGTTCGAGCTCACCAAGGATTACAGAGAAAAAGATTTTCTTATCCAAAAGCCCATCTAACAGACACCAAGGAGGACCCGGGCGGGCGTGGGCCTGAGGGGCGTGCGGTCCCTAACCCTAAGCAGCCCGGGGCCAGGCCGACGCCCCGACCCGCCTCCGACGCGGGCACCACAGGGTCACCCCGGTTCCTGGGAGCCCGACGCGGCAGGACGGCCCCGCCCCGGCCGCAGAGGGACCGGCAGGAAGGGCGCCGCTGACCTCCCGCCCTGAGCTCGAGAAGGGACGCGGGCGGGACAGGAACCCGGCCGGCGCAGCACAGGACAGGAGCGAGCGGCGGCCGGCCCGCCCGCGCTGCAGGAGACCCCGGCCCCGGCCGCCC